GGCAGCAGCATTTGAGATTCGCAGGAAAATATTTTTATCAGCTCCTCCGGTTTAGGCTTCTTCCCTACTAAGTATCGGCGACAAGTAATTCTTTGTTGGCACGCAGACATATTTAATCTAAACTTGCGGGTTCGTCCTAAAAAAGTGTTTTTGGGCTTCCTCCGTAGAGCAAGGCAACGAGTCAAATTTTGGATTGCCGTTTTTACCAGGCTTCATACCATCATTATTCAGCGAAGCTTCTTCGGAGTTTTTATAACCTTACAGAGCAAAAGCTGCACACAAGTACACTTAAGGGTGCACAGTTTTGTGCGGAAATGTATGGAAAAATCCATGCAGGAGGATTTCTCACTCAAAGAGGAAGTAGCAGAATTCGACGATTCAGAAGCCGTACAAATTGATTTTAAAGACGTCGATGATAACTTTGTTTCGGAGACATACTCCTCCCTACCAACTCCAATATTAAAAATTTCTGCGTCCCTGCCAGCTTAGGAACCCGAAGCTAAAGCTTGGAGAGCCCAAGCCAAAATGCCGAGATTTTAATCATTTCATTCAGCTTCCAACATGCTGAGAAGAGTGCCAGGTTCAATTACTCTGATAACTTCAAGCGTGCGCAGCTGACCATGTGTTGAATTTTTTTGTAAAGATCGGATATGCTACTCCCATGAAGGAAATATTTCCAGATTTGATTTGACTAAAACTTAACATTCTTGATAATAATGCTGAAATGATGGTTAGGCGACTTCAACTCTTTTTCCCCCGGGATCGAAAAAATTTAGACCCTGAAAAGAAAGTGCCCCATCATAATTTTGCGAGACCTGCGGGAATAGGGACAGAGCAGGGATCTAGAAAGGGATGCCATACTGGGTGAATTGAAACCTCTAACTGTAATGTTCACAGCGAGATTCAATGCCTCAAAGCTAAAATAATACGTCATGAAACCATATTAAGTACAATCCTTATAATATGACAGAACCGTGATCCAGCGTTGACGCCGATTTCGGCCGTTGGTGTCTTCGACTTCTAGCGCTCCTAACTTCTGTAAAAACAGTCATTAGTCCAAAATTTGAGAGTCTTTCTTGTAGCATTTTTCGCTGATTTCACTTTACCACGATCATTTTCGCCGAAAAATCGCCCAGAAAAAATGGTGTTCAGGAAAAACGACAAAAATGACAATTTTTTCAAATTTCCGCGGTTTTCAGCGCGCTCTGGTGGACGGTACATGCATTGTATCAAAACTTTGATGCATGTTTCAAAATCAAAATTTAACGTACTTTCGCTTTGCAGAACTTTATTTGTCGTCCGACGCACAGGGAACGAGTTATTACCGATTCTTGGACAAAAATGAGATTTGGCAACGTCTTTTCAAGATGGCGGCTTTAGAGGCAAAAATCGAAGGTAGCAAAGTTCAGATTCGAACTTAGCGCTAAAAAACACATAGGATACATATGCTAGAGATTTTTTTCCAGAATGTGGAAGGTAAACCCCTATTTTGGGATAGGTTGGCTATGGACTATTGTGCATTCAAATGAGGCAGAAAAGGTCGATTTTAGCTACTTTCGGGCGGTCTGGCAACCCTTTCCCAGCGGAGTTCGACGGTCTGGCAAGGTAATATCTTCTCAGGGAAGTCACCCCTTCAGAGGCGCGCCATATTTGGGGGAACTCCAAGTCCCCCCTATTAATCTAAGGGCGAGTGAGCGGAATCCAATTCCATGGGGGAAAAAAAGAGAAAAAACTATGTCAAGCAGAGCCTGAAAATTCCCAAAGTACCGCAGCGTGAAACTAGTAGATTTCAATGTCGTTGACAAGACTTAAAACTGCCCACACCCAGGGGGGGGGGGGGGGGGGGGGGGGAGGATTTGCTAAGCCAACACCTACTCGTGGTATGCACTACGGGTTATTTCATGTAGAAGAGTGAATGCAATCAGAAAAAAATCACTTCTCTAAATGAAGTAAACAAAGAGCTCGAGACCACCTACTTGATGAAAATAGTCAAATTTTTCAGCGTGAGGACATTTTACTGCTGAAATTACTGGCACTATAATGTCGAATCTACCTAAAAATGTTTAAATTTACCCCCCGCACTCCGCAGCAACCCCCAAGAAATGTGTTGCGGGAAAATCCGAAATTTTTACCGAAAAGTGGCAGTGGTTACAATCATTGTACTTAGGCCGCTGACATTTTTTGTGGGCTCTTGTGTGCACCAACCACATACTTTCCAGGGGTAGCGAATGCCATGTGCAAAAGAAGTCGTCGCCGCTACACCCTACCTTCGTACCCTCCCAGGACACCTTCACACCTTCCACAATTTTAACAAGTGGCAATGCTCAATCACTCCACCTTCCGCGCCCTCTTCTCTGCTCTCGCATTCCCCAGATGCTGGTTCTTGTTCATGAGCATTACACACTTTCCCCGCGAGTCGTTCGTTATTCTATGGAGTAACTAGTTTAAGTATATAATTGTCGGACATTCCATACACGAACGTGTTTCCTCAGTTATTCTACGTAGAATAACAGATTAAGTACTTTAACGATAACAATTGCATTTTAAATCCTTCAGAGCGTCGTTAACTCTACAAATAATAAACAGAAAGAGTGCCCTCTAATAACAAGCAGGTGGAAAAATAATAATACAATGAATAATAGATATTCAATGTTATTAGCATTTCATTGTTCGAAACATTCCTCTTTCTCTCCCCCCTCCCTCTCTCTCACACCATCTCTCAATAATTGACAAAATTCAGAGAAGTGGAAGCAGAATAGGATTAGGAAAAAAACCTCGCTCTCGATACAGAAATCTACAGTTGTATCGGAATACAATTTTTTTGCCCCAACACTATTCTGCTTTCATTTATCTGAATTTTGCCAATTTTTGGATTTAGAATGGTTCCTCAGGCTCATGCACAGGGGCTATCATCCTTTGTTTAACTAAAAATTCGAAATCTGCAAAGATTATTGACCTAAACGATGCAATACATCGCAAGCCAGTTTGACCACATCACTTGAGCTTGACAAATCACCCTAATATTTATGAGGGGCAGCTAGCAAGTAACGCCTCCAAGTTTATGATGCAAAGGTTCACTTGCTGATTTGAGGACTCAATTTCGAAAATTTCAAGATATTTCTTCAATATTCAGGAAAATGTGATCTGTTTCACAAGTAACTGGAGCTGGGCCCACATCTCTGGAATATCTGTTACGACAAGATCGTTGACCTTGCGACAGAAATCACTGCTAAAAAGTATGCGTACGCTGATGACCTTGCAGTACTAGTCGAGGGGAAAAATAGAGATGACCTCTCAAATAAAGTGAACGCAGTCACTAAGGAAATAAATGATGAACTGTTAAAATCAGATCTCTCTATTGAACCCACCAAAACCGAAGCTGAAGTCATTACCAAAAAAAGGAACTCTAGAAAGAGAAATGTTAAAATTAAAGTTATAGATCATCCTATCGTCCCCTCTTCCGCTCTGAGATATCTTGGTGTCTGGTTAGATAACAACGGAACTTTCAACACCCACGTAGAAAAAATTTGTGATAAAGTGTCATCTGTTATCAGAACTTTCTCGTGCATACTGCTTAATACAAAAGGTCCCTCTTTCCTGAAGAGGAAACTTATCACCTCTGCAGTGCTGTCCATTATCTTTTATGGGGTAAACATCTGGGCTGCGTCTCGTGTATCTAAGACAAACATCAAAAAACTTACAAGAGCAATCCGCCCCATCAAAGCTCGTCTTTGCATGGCATACAGGACTGTATCCTCAAGCGCCCTTGACATTATCAGTGGTATCCCCCAAACGGAATTTCTAATAGAAGAAAAGTCAGGCTGATGAGCAAGGAAGAAGACAAGACGGTTATTAAAGCTGATAACGACAAATATGGATAGAAACCTGGAACGCGACCCCTGAGAAAGACAGATGGCTTAAGCAACTCATCACTGACCCTGAGAGCTGGCTCACTAGAGAACACGGAGAACCTAATTTCTTCATTACACAGGCACTCACAGGTCACGGAGTCTTCAATGGTTTTCTCCACCGTATCGGCGTTTCTACCACCAACTCTTGCCCCTACTGCCCAGGGATTTTCGACTCCCCTCAGCACACTATTTTCAATTGTTCTCAATTCTCAACGGATCGAAAAGAATTGGAGGACAAGATAGGCGAACGTTTCACCGTAAACTCATTCCAGAAGCTAATCACCTGCTCCAAAGAGAACTGGTCATCGATTGGAAATTTCCTCAAATCAACCTTGACTGCTAAGAGGAAAACACTCGACCAAACCACCCTTTCCGATGTATGCCAATCGGCGATTCCCGCAGCCGCAGCAAATGGATCCCGAATCTTCCTTCTTCAACGGAAGTCCAGCCTTTCAATATCTAGCCTCCTATCTTTGTTATTTTTTCTTTTTGAGGCTTTTGTCCTTTTGTCTTTCCCTTCTTTTTTACATTTACCTTTCTTTCATTCATTGTATGAAATAGAATTTTTTGTACCGATTCTTTTAAAGCGACAAATAAACAAACAAACAAAAAAAAAAAGTAACTGGAGGATGAATTTTAAAGTAAGCTCTAGCCTTATCTCATCTATTAAGTAGATTGTCTTGCTGATTTTTATTTTTAAGTCCGGATAAGGACGAAAGTTCCTGCCTGTAAGCAAGTGAATCATTCTTAAGAAGTAGAAATGCAAATTTCTCAGAAACAGAGGCAGTATTCTTCTTAGTAAAAACGATGCATTCCATACAGTCAGTAATGGAGATGTTGCATGTGTGAGGGATTTGCGATTTGACTGTTCTTTCTTCTGTAAAAGTTCGCGAGAAACACGATGGTGCCACTGGTTTTCTCTGAAATCATCTCCCAAGCTCAAAAAAAGCTCTCAAAGTGAGGCTAAAATGGAGGGGATATCCCGCCCTACCCTGAGAGTCCACCTCTACATCAAAACAAACTCTCCATGCAAAGATAGGGAGCAAGACCAATCCACACAGGTCAGTCATTGCACTCATTGCGCAGCTTTTGTGAAATCCACTCCCCCGCCCGGCCCTAACTCGCAGCACTCAATGCTACGTCACAATGGGTGCTCCTACAGTCCCTTTATACTGAAAGTCAAGACAATGTGAATCCATTTTTGATTGGTTCCCGTATTTTAGGCCTTCACAGTGTCACAAAACGGAATAAAGATTACATTTTCACCGATTGCAAAGATTATAATCTGGAATGGACCAGGGAATTACGGGTTCGGCAAGGAACAAACGGAATGAGAGAAGGACCGGAGAAAGGAATTTGAGAATGGGCCGATCAAAGATTACAAAAAACGTTCAATTTCTGTAATCTTTATTCCCGTTTGTGACTCCATGAGGGGGTGTTGTCTTGACTCTCAGTATAAATAGAGTCCCTTTAAAACCAGAGTTAAGACAACTCACTTTTGGTTGGGCTGAAAGTGGCCTAAAAAAAATCCAATTCTGATTGGTTCTCGCTCATGGAGGCCGAAACGAGTGCACCAAGATGGCGGTACCTCGAATGTGAACAAGAATGATGAAAATATTCCCTAATTGTGGTTCATCAAGAGTAAATTGTTATTTCCATCGGTCCAAAATGAAAATAGATTAAGAAATTATTCACAAACCAATCTCATTTTCTTTTTAATTAATCAATTTGTTGATGTTGTTGTTATTGTGTGACAGACATCGCAGGATTCCTGATCCTTATCCCTCAATATCGTTCGTTCGGGTGCAATCGTTTCGGCCTCCATGGCCAGCCAAGGCCGGCTGCGAGTCAGCTGATAATCGAGTTGTCTTAACTCTGGGTATAAAGGGACTCTAAGTATAAAGGGACTCTAGGTGCTCCCATAAGAACTACATTGCAGGCACTCAATACTACGTCACTGCGCAGTAGAGTACCAAAACTCGTCCTCGAGAAAGACAGACCTGTGTGGATTGGTCTTGATAGGGAGCAAATGCATTGACAGGGCTGCTACTTCATTTGGGGACTCTAAAACTGAAAACACAGCAACCCTGCTAATGTATTTGCTCCCCATCTTTGCATGGAGAGTTTGTTTTGATGTAGAGTTGGACTCTCGGGGTAGGGCGGGATAGAGTACCTTTATAGACGTGGAGTCCCTTTATTCTGAGAGTCAAGACAATTTGAATCCATTTCTGATTGGTTCCCGTATTTTAGGCCTCCACAGTGTCACAAACGGGAATAAAGATTACATTTTCACCAATTGCAAAGATTATAATCTGGAATGGACCAGGGAATTACGGGTCCGGCAAGGAACAAACGGAATGAGAGGAGGAACGGAGAAAGGCATGTGAGAATGGGCCGATCAAAGATTGCGAAAAACGTTCAATTTCTGTAATCTTTATTCCCGTTTGTGACATCCACGAGCCGAATTGTCTTGACTCTCAGTATAAAGGGACTCTAAGAATAGCGTGGGATATCCCCTCCATTTTGGCCTCAACTTGAGAGCTTTTTTTTGAGCTTGGGATTAGATTTCAGAGAAAACCAGTGGCACCATTGTGTTTCTCGCGAACTTTTTTGACAAAATGGCGGCCGGTCAAAGTTCAAAATGGCGGAAATTTGGCATCTCTGTTGTTTATAGACGGATTGGTGTGAAACTCGGAATCATAGGGTTTTTCGGGATGAGAAAGACGATTCTGGCATTGGTTTTCCAGAAAAGTCAGTCCTTTTCAAAATGGCGGCCTTGAGCGGGAAGTGAATATTTGGGCTGGATATCGTTGGATTTGCATGAAACTTGGTATCTGGGGGTATTTCGGCACAAAAAGAACGAATCTTTCATTGGATATTTGAAATTTTGAGAAATTCCAAAATAGCGGCGGAAAAATTGCGATAAATCGGTTTTACGGCTCTTTACCGATGGATTTGCATGAAATTCGATATCCTGGCGGTTTGTGGCTGGATAAAAAGGAATCTTTCATTAGATTCTTGAAATATCAAATAATTTCATGCTAATCCATCGGTAAAGAGCCGTAAAACTGATTTACCGCAATTTTTCCGCCGCCATTTTGGAATTTGTCAAAATTTCAGATATCCAATGAAAGATTCGTTCTTTTCGTGCCGAAATACCCACAGATACTAAGTTTCATGCAAATCCAACGATATCCAGCCCAAATATCCACTCCCGCTCGAGGCCGCCATTTTGACCGCTGCCATTTTGAAAATGACTGACTTTTCTGGAAAACCAATGCCAGAATCGTTTTTCTCATCCCAAAAAACCCTACGATTCCGAGTTTCACACCAATCCGTCTATAAACAACAGAGATGCCAAATTTCCGCCATTTTGAACTTTGACCGGCCGCCAATTTGTCAAAAATGAACATTTTGACCTGCGGTTTGCGCCAAAAATTTTCTTTTTTCATTATCTTTCGAATGAGGTATCACAAAGGGGAAGTTGCCATTTGAAAAAAAAAAGTTAGCCCCCGCCCCCCTTAAGGGAGGCCGCCCCCCAAAATTTTGAGGGGACCAAAAAGTTGCTACCTTAGACCGAGGATCATTCCCAAAGTTTCAAACTTCTATCTCAATTTGGAAAAAAGTTAGAGGGGTGGTCAGTGACTTTTGGATAACCCTGTAGGTATCACAGCAATGCCCCGCAGTTTATTGCCCCGTGAAACTCAGCCTGTTGCTGTTGCGCGGGGCAATGCAACTAAAAATTTAGTGCGGGGCAATGAAACCAAATTTTTGCAATCCCCCGCAGGAATGAAATAAAATTGTTTCACTGCCCCGCACCAAAAAATTTAGAGTTTCATTCCCCCGCAAATTAAATTGCTGATTTTTCATAAAGTTAGATTCTTTCAAAGTCATCATAAAATTCTGAACGACATTTTCCATTCCTTGGAGTTCCTACTCAACAGCCTGGTCTATTAAAACTTCATGCAAGAAAAAAACAGTTTGCAGCAACTCACCATTCACTGTGTCTAGTTCTCCTGAAGAGGTAAGATATTTCAATTCCAATCGTCCTATATTTTAAAAACACTTTCAGAATTGCACTTCACAGGATTCCCAACACTTCCAATTTCTTCCCTTTCAATTCATAGGAAAGTTAATAAGCTCATTCAAAGTTATTACTGGTCTTTGTACTTTTGGAAGAAAGTAATAATAATAAAAAAAAATCCTACATGCTAAATTTCTTTGAAACAAATGCCTTCCAGGAGATTGCACTTTTATGATGCAGTGCATTGTTTTTCTGTCAATCTTTCAATAAATTTTAAGGTAGATTTTCAAGAACTTGATGATGTGATTTTGCTGCTAAATCTCTGTTAATAGCTGATCTAATGCGGAAAAATCAGTTGAATCACAGAGTGCTAGTAGCTTTCATTTTTCCATGAGGATCCCAGCAAACCAAGCACTTCGTAAAGAAGTTCTAGAAAAAAAGAATAAAAAAACAGGCATTAGTGATTATTTCCTCAT